CCCCTCTCCCACCCCCACCATCTTCAAAGCCAGGGACCTGGCAGTGGTTCTGAAAGCCGGGCAGAGCCTCCATGCCATGGCTTGGCATGGAACTCAAAGGCTCAATTAGCAACATCTGCTCTTGTGGGCTGTAAAACCCTCTCGCTGCTCCCCTCCCTCGCTCCGAGCGCTCACAGCTGGGAGCAGCATGGGGCTGCAGCCAGCCCAGCCAGGGGAGCTGTGCCCCTGGCTCACAGCTGTCATAGCTTGCTGTGCCACCTCTGCCACTGTGCCACCTCTGCCACCGCTCTGCAGACCCCTTAGACCCATGGCCTGATGGCAGCTGAGTGTGAGGGACAAAGAGTGAGCTTTTCTCTCTGGTAACCAGGGAATGGCTGGAGCTGTGTCAGGGAGGCTTAGGTTGGGTATTAGAAAAAGGTTCTTCCCCTAGAGGGTGGTCAGGCACCAAACAGAGGGGAGGGTCTGGAGAACCTGGAGTGGCTGGGAGTGCTCAGCCTGGAGAAAAGGAGGCTCAGAGGGGACCTTCTCCACAACTCCCTGACAGGAGGGAGGAGCAGGAGGGATCGGGTTCTGCTTGCAGGGAATAGGGACAGGATGAGAGGAAGCAGCCTCAAGCTGTGCCAGGGGAGACTCAGGCTGGACAGCAGCAGGAATTTCTCCATGGAAAGTGTGGTCAGGCATTGGAAGGAGCTGCCCAGGGAGGTGGTGGATTCCTCATCTCTGGAAGTGTCTAAGGAAGGACTGGATGTGGCACTCAGTCCTCTGGGCTTGTTGACCAGATGGGGATCGGTCAAAGGTTGGACTTGATGACCTTGGAAGCCTTTTCCAACCTCAGTGATCCCATGACTCTATGAAAACCAGCCCATGCCCTGGAGGCTGGCTGAGAGCCCCGGCAGCACCCATTGTTCGGGAGCTGAAGCAATCGAAGCCCTTTCCGGAGGAGCCTGGCGGGCCGGGCTGTCCCGGGAGGGCCGTATAGCAGCAGGGCTGGACGCTGCTGTCATCATTCCGCGGATGCCTCCGAACGCGGCCAAGCGGCGCCACACGAGGCCACCGAGGTCGGGAGGGCACGGAGCCAGCCGGGAATGGGCTTTGTGAATGGGAGCGGGACAAAACCGTGTGGTACCCCTGGAGAAGGGGTCCCTGAGCCCCTGCTTGGGGCCAGCCATCCCCTCCCAGCCTGGTGCCAGGAGGGGACAAGGGAGTCCCACGGGCAGCGCTGGCAGGGCACTACTGATGTCTGACACCGGGCACCAAGTGCTTCCCCGCCTTTCCCAGCCTCATTGCAAGAATGTCCAGTATGTCCATTCCTTCCCCACATTTTGGCCATTAGATCTGATTATCCTTGATTTACTCACTCTCTGGGGAGCTCTCAGAGCCTCTCCCTCTTCAAGAAGCAATCTCAGCTGCATTCTGGCTTCAGCAAATCATCCCACCCTGGGGACATCCCTTGGGAGAGTCCCCAAAAAACCCCAGTGCCGTTCTCAGCTGGGGATGTCCCTCAACTCCTGCCTGGGAGCTGGGGGGCAGCAGGGCTTGCCAGGACTGTCACCCCATTACAAACAAGGGGTGCGATCACAATTCCATAAAAACGCATCATTGAAGCCCTCTGCCAAGGCCAGGCCCAGCCTTGGCTGGAGCAGTGGGCAGTGAGAAAACACCTTGTGCTGATGGTGATTTTCTTCCTAGTTATCCCCACCAAGGATCTGCTTCCAAATTCCCCAGGGAGAATTTGGAAGCAGAGGCTGGCAGAGCTGCCTCTCCCACCTGAGGAACCAGGACTTGAGTGCCAGCCTGTCCATATCTGCTTGGAGTAAGAAAAGCTTCCATAAAGCACATTTCCCTTAGAATCCTGGCAGTAAAACATCCATACAACATTGCCCGTAGCACACCAGCAGCAGCAGTAGAGGGAGAGGAGCCAGAGGAGGGCTGAGCAAAGCTGTTCTCTCCTGAAGGGTCATGTGTGAGCCGCTGGTTTGGCAGGGAGTGGGAGGAGCGGATAATGTTTTCCCAGGCAGAGGAAACTCCTGGGTGGAAATAGCGCTGTGCCCTGGAAACGGAGCGGTCGGCAAACAGGGCTGGTGCAGCCTCATCTCAGCAGGTCACGCTGAGCTGGCACAGGCTCTGTGGTGGATGGATCTCTCCCGATGGGAATGGGAGTGAGCAGCTCCCGTCACAGCCCTGTGGGAGCACAGGGGAGCTGAGGTCGGGGATGGGCAGAGCGTTCCTGCACGGTGGATCCCTGGGACACCCTCTCCATGGCCTCCCTCCTGGTTTTGTTCAGCTCCAGGTACACAAAAGGACCAGGAGTGCCGGGGCAGGAAGAAAGCTGAGTCCTCAGGCTAGGGAGAAAGCTGGAAAAGGGTGAGAACAAGTGGGGCTTTGTGGGGACAGATAGGAAATAAGAAAGAAAGGACTGCTGGGCTCAGTGTCCCATAATTAATGGGGTGCACAAGGCTTGGAGAGGCTCTCTTGCTGTCTCAGCTCTTCCTATACCTGGAAAGGACAGGACAGTGCTGATCTCCCGCCTACACCACTCCCCTGAGACATGGAGTGATGGGACAAGGGGGAATGGCTTTAAACTAAAGAGAAGGGAAATTTAGATGGGATATTGGGAAGAAATTATTCCCTGTGAGGGTGGTGAGGTGGGGAGGCCCTGGCACAGGTTGCTTAGAGAAGCTGGGGCTGCCCCTGGATCCCTGGAAATGTCCAAGGCCAGGTTGGACAGGGCTTGGAGCAACCTGGGCTAGTTGAAATTGTCCCTGTCCTTGGCAGGGGCATGGGCAAGGTGATGTTAAAAAGTCTCTTTCTACCCAAACCATCCAGTTATTCCTCAAATGCCAGTCTGATCCTGCATGCACAGAGCAGGCACAGTCAGTCCTGGGAAAGAAACCCACCCCAGGAACCCCAGACCTGCAGGAACAGAGCTCTCAGCTATTCCAGCATCTCCTCCCACAGGAGGCTGTGGACATGCTGGAGGAGCAGGCAGGGATGGGGTGGAAGACACAGAGGGAAGCAGCCCCTGAGGGAGTCACAGGTGTCTGTGCCACGGCTCAGAGGAGCTGAGCCTCCAGCCTGGGTTGCAGATCCTTACATCACCCCCGGTGATGTTCAACATTTGTTCGTTCCGGCTGTAAAACCTCTCCTGGCTCTGCACCAGGTATTTCCCTCCCTCAGTGCCTCAGCCAGGGCTGAGCTGCTGGAGCGTGAGCAGCTCACACACCGTGGCCTTTGTGACTTATGGCACTAGCTGAGGTGACAGCTCCTCCATGAGAGCCCCTTTCCCACGGGGCTTGCTCTCCTCACAGGTTAGGATGATAAACAGGAGAAGGATAAAGCCTCTGGTGCCTCCCTGTGCCTGCAGGATCCCACTCTCCTGAGGGAGCTCGGGTGACCAGCTCCAGCACCCCATGGCCTCGAAGGAACTGGTTCACTTTGGGACAGAGCTTGAGGAAAACCCCAGGAATAGGAACACCTGAACCAATTCCCACGGCCGGGGTAGTGCCCGAGGCTGAGGATGGCTTTGTGGATGGAGAAGGAGCCTCCAAGCAGGATCTGCCCTCTGTTCCATGTACACTAGGGTTTCCTGTCAATAAAATTATGGAATCATTTAAGTTGGAGTGGCTCTCAGAGACTGCTGAGTCCAAACATCACCCCCAGCACTGCCAAGGCCATCATTAATCCATATTCCCAAGGGCCACATCCCCATGATTTTGATCACTTCCAGGGATGGTGACTTCACTGCTTCCCTTGGTGTCTGTTTCCATGCTTCTGTTTTCAGTGAAGAAATTTTCTGTAATATCCAGCTAAACCTCCACTGGTGCAACTTGTGGCTATTTCCTATTGTCCTGTCCATTGTTCCCTGGGAGCAGAGCCCGATCCCTCCCTGGCTGTCCCCTCCTGTCAGGAGTTGTGCAGAGCCAGAAGATCCCCCCTGAGCCTCCTTTTCTGCAGGCTGAGCCTCCCCAGCTCCCTCAGCTGCTCTTTATTTTCCACTCCCAGGGAGCTGATGGTCTCTCAGGGTTTAGCCATGCCAAGAGCCCCCTAACAGGGATTTAGGGACATGAATAAGCGATGTCCCTGGAAGCTGCTTTTGCTGTCTGGTGATATCCCTCTCCTGGTCCCTCAGAAATGAAGTCACTGGGGGCTCTTTGTGGGGCTGAGGGTGTGTGGGCAGTGAGGGGACACTGCTTTTAGGGGACAGCACCGTGCGTGTGGCTGCTGCTGGAGCCCCCAGGGCCCCTCTCCACTGGGACCTGTTGACACCGGGGATGGGGATGGGGATGGGGCCGGCCCGTGAGGGTGAGGTGAGCGTGAGGATGAGGATTCAAGTGACGGTGAGGTGAGGGTTAGGGTGAGGATGAGTGTGAAGATGTTGGCAAGGCCGAGGTGAGGATGACCGTGGGGGTGAAGTAGCGAAGCTGAGGGAAGGCATGAGGAAGCGGCTGAGGGCTGAGGGTGCGGATGAGGCGCTGATGAGGTGACGGTCAGGGTGGGGGTGAGGACGGGGCTGAGCGCGGAGCTGCCGGGGTGTGTGCGGGCGCGGGGGTGTCCCGGGCGGGCCGGGAGGAGCGGAGCGGAGCGGAGCCGAGCGGAGCCGAGCGGAGCGGAGCGGAGGGGATCGGAGCTGTCCTTCAGCACCGCGGCAGCGCCGGCCGGGCCGGGCCGCGGCCGTGCCGGTGCCGGCGGAGCGCAGGCAGCGCGCAGGCGCAGCGCTCGCGGCTCCTCAAGGTGTTGGCGGCGCGGCCGAAGATGGCGACAGACTGAGGGCGATGGGGCCGGGCGGCGGCGGCGGCGGGCGCGGCGCGGCCCCGGCACCGCGCCGGGGCAAGCGGAAAGCCGAGTGAGGGCGGCCGGGGCATGCCCGGGGCCGGGGCCGGAGCCGGGGCGGGCGGCGGCGGCGGGGCGCGGCGGGGGCGGCGCGGGCATGGCGGCGGTGCGGGGCAGGTGACAGCGGCGGCAGCGCGGCGCTGCCCGCCCGCGGCCCGCGCGCCCCCGGCATGATCCGCGGCGCCTGGATGTCCCCCCGCGGGGGCGCCGCCGGCGGGGCCGTGTGCTGCGCGCCGCGCCGCAGCGACAAGCCGGTGGCCGACCCCGAGCGGGCGCAGAAATGGCGCCTGTCGCTCGCCTCGCTGCTCTTTTTCACCGTGCTCCTCTCCGACCATCTGTGGCTCTGCGCCGGGGCCAAGCTGCGGGCGCGGGAGCGGCCGCGGGGCCGCGGGCCGCGGGCGCTGCTGGCGGCCGAGCCGGCGGGCGGCGGCGGCGGCGGCGGCAGCTGCGAGGCCCTGCTGGGCAACCTGAGCCGCGGCCCCGGCGGGCCCTGCCCCGCCGCCCGCGGGGACCTGGACTCGGCGTGCGCCCGGCTGCTCGCCCCGCAGCGCCCGCGGGCCCCCGGCGCGCCCCTGCGCTCGCCCCCCGCCGCCGCCGCCGCCGCCGCCGCCGCCGCCGCGCCCTTCTTCGCCTCGCCCTCCTCCAAAAGGACCTTCCTGCAGGCTTACTTCAGGAACTTCAACCTCTCCTTTTGTGATACTTACACGATCTGGGACCTGCTGCGGGAGATGGCCGGCCCCGACGGGCTGGACTGCAGCCTGGACAACCTGATGGTGGACCTGGTGGTGGCGGCGGCCGGGGCGCTGGACGGGGAGGCCTGTAGCAGCTGCGTCCAGGCGTACCAGCGGCTGGACCAACACGCTCAGGAAAAATACGAGGAGTTCGACCTCTTGCTGGAGAAGTACTTGCAATCGGAAGAGTACTCGGTCAGATCCTGCCTGACGGACTGCAAGGTACGAGGGGACGTCCCGGGTGAGCTGGGCCACAGCGGGCTTGGTTGTGTGGGGGTGCCGTGGTCCCCCTGTTCTCACACCTACCTGCAGGCTGGGGTCTCCCTCTGCTCCCCAAACCTCTCCTGGCAGTGGTGGTGGGACAGGTCTGCAGCCCTTGGGAAGGCTGGGACAGGGTGGTGGGATAGAGAAGGCAAAGCAGGACTTGGCCTGAATGAGCACTTGCACATCCCTTCACACCTGTGAGCACGCAGGCAGCTCCTGTCTTCCCACTCCCAACACTCCATTCCCAACACCCTGCTCCCAGCGCAGTCTGAGCACCCAACTCATGACACCCCAATCCTGACACCCTATCACCCCTCTCTCCTGACACCCCAATCCCACATGCTACCTCACTCCTGACACCCCAATCCCTACTAGCCTTACCCACATCCCTTTCTGTGCGCACCCCTGTGCACGTAGGGGCTGAGCTGGGGCATGTGTGAAGCCCCTCACCTTTGCCTCAGACCTGCTGCTGCTCCTGGGACAACCCAGGGTTCAGCCTGGCTGTTATTAGACTAGCAGTGACCTGAGATGAACCGTGGTTCCAGGCCCCTTCCCTGTATGCAGCAGCTGTTTTCCAGTTCTTACACCCTTTCTGCCCAAGGAGCTGGCCCAGGGGTGCTGGAATGTGCCTCCCACCATGGCGTTCCCCCCAGTGTCACTGACTGTCCCCTGCCCCAGGGCACAGTCCCTGTTCTGAAAGCTGGTGGGTTGGTTGTGTCTCCCAGCATCAATGGGATCAAGTATGGATGGCTCAGTATGGAGCCATCTCCTCTCCCAGATGAGAGTTGTGGCTGGATCTCCATCGGACCCCCAGTGTGGTTCTGCTGGATGCTCCGTTCTTACAACCCTGTGGTGCCTTCAACTTCCACCAGCTCCAAGCTGCCTGGCTCACCTGTGCATGCTCCCTCCAGGCATCACCTCTGGGAAGTGCAATGGTCTCCATAATTACATCTGCTTCCCTTCCTCTGAGCTGTGTCTTGGGGTGTGTGACAGCATTGTCCCCACAGGGATGGTGGCAGGGCTTCCTCTCTGGCAGTACCACAGGGTTGGCTGCTCCTCTTCTGGGACAGGAGTTTTGAGGGACACTTGGATTTGCAGAGCAGCTCTTGAAGTGATGTTCATGCCCTGGGTAAGTGTGGGAGCAGCACCAAGAGCAGCACTGGGACACCGAGGTGGTGTCCATTTCACCAAGGGCACATTGGTGAGATCCTGGCCACTACTCCAAGGGTCGCTTTTGTGGGGAGCCGGGTTTGAGCAGGAGTTTGTGCTTGTGTTCTGGGCCTGGGCCAGGCAGGTAATTACAGTCTGCTTCCCAAATTCTGCCTGTGGTTTCCAAGGGACGTGGTATTCAGCCTGTTCTGAGTAGTTTGGTCCTGCTGCTCCACTTCCACAGGGAGTTTGGTGCTGTCCATTGTGCTGCTCCTGCTTTCAGGGGCCCAGCAAGATCAGGATCTCCCTGTGCCATGTCTGGTGGAGCATAAACATTCCAACTTCAGGCTTAGCTTCCATCTCTGCTGGCAGATCCAGAGAGAAAAGCAAAAGAGGTGAGAAAATTATCATTATGTTGGGACTCCAAAGTATGTAGAAACAGAACCATGCTTTGATGAGTCTCCATTAAGTATCCCTGGGTTTAACATCCTTGATGGGAGAGCAGGAAATGTGCTGTGGGGAGGTGCAGAGCTGGAGGTAATGGCAGGACCCATCCCTCCAAACTGGTTCTGTGTCGTGTCAGTGCATCCTTAGAGCACCTGTGAGCTCCAACTTTGCATTCCACAGGCAGCACTTGGGAAGCAACAGGAGGCAGGAGCAGCCTGGACAACCTGTGCACACTCCCCTGGGCCAGCCACTGGGAAATTCCTGTGGGAGTGCCCGAGTCTACAACCAGCTCCCATCCTTTTGGTTGCTCCTGATAAATCAGGCTGCTTTGTTTAAGACCATTCACTCCAGCCTTTCGCATCCATGAAACTCAGCTTTTCCCTCTCAGTGGCTGTTCTCCATCTGTGAATTGAGGCTAATACCAGACCCCTCCAGCAGTGTGGTGATGAGCGAGTTTTGGCCTGATTTTGAGTCCTCTGGACTTGAGCAGGGACTACAGTTACTCATTGCCTTGGAAAAATGTAGCTGGTGGGATTTTTGAAGCAGTTTGAATTTGTGATTCCCATCCAGAAGCTGGATAAAATCTGTTTGTGAGGGATGGCAGAGCTATTGCTTGATGGTGACAACATCTGAGAGCAAATAACAGGAAAACAGAGGAGAAGTGGAGGAAAACAGTGGAATGTGCAGCTTGGCCAGTGTGAGAGTTCCTGCAGAGCCCTCACAGCAGGATTCTGGCTTCAGGAGCTCTGGAACTGGAGAAATAAGATTTAAATGATAATTCTGGGACATGGGACCGTGGGAGCAGGGCTGAGTGTGGAGGGTTAGTGCTGCATCCCATTCACATCCCTGCCATTCTGTAGCAGCAGCTGGAAAATTGAAGATGAGGAAGCACAGCTGCTGCAGCTCACCTGCACGTAGCCTCCCTCTGCTGAGCCACAGATCCCTCTGGAATTTGGTGCCTAAGAGCTGTGGCTCAGTAGACAGCTCACAGGGAGCTCTGTGGCAGCCAAACCACTCTGGTGATTTTGGCTCTTTCTTCCACCTGATTTCAAAGAACAGCAACACCAAATCCCAACTGGAGCTGCCAGTTCCTTCCTATGGCAGCAGGTTTCACCCTGAGCTAAACATTTGGAAGCGTGTAAGTGTTGTGGATTGGTTTCAGGAGACACATAATGCTCTTTTAAATCGTCTTGAGAGCTGTCCTCAGGTTTGGTGAGAAAAGTCAGGTCCTGCCAGGAGGGGAAACAGCATCTTAGGCACCCCAAACCCAGATTCATCTATTGGAATAAATCAATTGAGCTCCATTTTCTTCATGCGGGAAAAGCCAAATCTTTATTCACATAACTTATTTTATACAGTTTTAACAGACCTCATTTGCAACATCTATTACCTGGTAGTTTTCTTACTACTTCATTTGCTGGCCAGAAGGTGATCTGTGTGTATGTGCTAAGGTTCAGGTTGTTTACATTTTTCTTTTGTGGGTTCTCAGGGAACAGATTTAATGTTCATGCAGGTGCACTTATTTTTCACCCAAAAAAGTTGTTACATTAAAGAACTGTTCATACCCAGACAGTTTTCACATGGGAACTTGCAAAGTACTAGCTGCACTTAGAAGAAATGGCAGGCTAGCTATTAATTTAACAGAGCAGGCCTGATTTTATGAGGCCTTTCTTTTATTACTTCTCTACCTGTCTGCAACATCCCTGTGTGCCCCGAGATTGGGGAAGACTGGACCAAAGTTCCCCTGGGAGATAGGAATCCCATGGAATGGTGGGGTCTGTGTGTAATTCAGCTGCTGAGATTACTCAGTGCTGTCATATACTCCCTTTTTATTTTCTGCTAGGGGATCATTCCTGGGCAGATCCCACTTTCTGCATATGTTGCTATTCCCCTGCAGCACCATCAATTTCCAAATCACTCCCTGGAAATGTTTCATTTGTTACTCTTCCAACTAACACCAGAAATCCCTGTGGCTGAGAGACAGTAAACCATGAAAACGCACTTCTGGGGTTTATTGTTTGCATTTCCCATTTGGTGGGATTTTGGGGGTCTGGTTCCTACAGGGACGCTCATGGACAGGGGCACCAGCATCCTGTGGACAGGAGGAGAGGGAAGTGGGTCCACAAGGTCCATCAATCTTCTCAAATACATTTCACCTGCAAGGTGCTGCAAGGATCTGCCTGCCAGCTACGAGGTCATGGTGCTTGGTAGGGATGATGTGGATAAAAGGTGGAAAACACCTGTGTTTTTCTGAACATAAGAGGGAAAACTCATTAATTGAGTCAGGAGCAGCTGCCAGCCACCTCCATCTCACCTGTTGCTGTGTAACTTGTACCTTTTGTCACTGCAAGACACAATGAACTTGGTGCACCGAGCAGTTGTGGGGACACTTTGGAGCATCCTCCAAAGGGTCTTGAGGAGGTCACAGGCCAGAGACATGGATATTGGACTTGAATATCCATCAGGAAATGTGGGGCAGCAGCAGCACTCAAACTGTCAGCCCAGGCTTTGCAGGACTTAGTGCAGGAGGAAATCACTATCCCTCCAAAGCAATACCCTGAGGGATGCTTAGGGCTTGTTTGTGCCTTTTCCCATCTTTCCAAACAGGAAAAGAGCAGTGTTCCTTCAGCTCAGACACCAGATGAGAGCTTTGCTCGTGCCAAGGCCAAGCTCTGCATGCTGGCTCCCACCCCAGCAGCTCCCAAAAGTGCTCCCTCCCACCGGTCTGGGGCAAATCAAGATCTATGGGACAAAGCCTGCAGAATTAAGGAGTCATTAGGCTGCAAGAAACAAAGCTGTGGCGAGAGAAGGGCTGACAGGCAGGAGGGGGCTGGCAGCAGAGCTGGGCAGGCTGGGCTGGACAGGAGCTGTAGCATCTCAGATGTGATTTGATTATCAGGTTTCTCTGCGCACGGGCCCGTGGCTGTGGGATCTGGTTCTGCACCTCTGGTTTCCCCAGTACCCCAGCAGGGCAGGATTTCACTCCTGAGGCTTTGCTGGTGTTTCTGTGCCACAGGTGCACAGTGATGCTGTAAGAAATGGAGGCTGTTCCTGCTCTGGCATCACTCCTGGCACATCCCACACAGAGCAGGGAGCAAATCCCCAGTGCCCAGGTTCAGTACCCTCTGGGGTCCTGTTTTCTGGCTCTTGTTTAACCAGGAATAGCTCTTGTTTAATCAGCAATCAGCATCTATACAGAGCACCCCTCCCTGTGGAATATCCTCTGGAAACCTAAGCCTGCTGGCACCAGGAGCTTTGGGAACACCATGTCTTGGGGTTATCCCAGTGCCAGGGACACCTCTTGTGGGAAGCAAAGCAGTGTTTTACCTTCACAAAAGTAGCTCAAGTTGAGTTTTCTTGGT